TATACTGCTTACATTCAAACAAACATTTTAAATTTTTTTTTTTCTGAGGATGACTTTTTGCCGATTGACTGAATCGCACGGTATTCATGCAATTGTGTTATTATTTTGCACAATCTCGGCTGTAACCGCTTTCTTTGATAATGGAATATTAATTATAGTACGTTTTGCAAAATCTGTTTGTTCACTCTTTTCTTTTCCCAGATGCACATTGCATAAATTGTGTTAGTTTGCCAAGATTTTCTTCCCCTGTATCTTTGAATAGTTCGATTTAGAATATTATCTACAGCCCGGGTTTTTCCCATTTTTCAGTTTTTTTGTCGCCCAATTCATTTCTTCGATCTCAGGTTCTTATTCGTAATCATCTATATTTAAATCCACTAACTCTCTATTTGTAGTTCCTTATCAATATAACTTCTTCGTGTATTTCTTCCCATCTTTTTGTGAATGCTCTCTTTCTTTTGGTTGTATTTGTATTTTGTCGTTCTCGTTTCTTAACATTCGCCATTGTTGGTTTTCGCTCCGTTGGTCATATATAGGATGGACCGTGAAAAATTTATTAAGATCTCTATTTTTGTTATGTCTTCCACTTTTTCGCTTTTTTTCTTTGAATAACTTTTCTTTAATCTTGCCTTGTCTGGCTGGAATCCCCTGTTGACGTAGTGAAATAAGAAATAAATTTCCATAACAAAATAAAAATAATATATTCAAAGATTAATGTGTACAAGTTTTACAATGAATTGCTATTTTAAAAACACGTCCGGCAACCTTTTCCTTTCAGACACTTGCTTTAACCGCAGAAAACACCAGCCACGCGTGATGCCGTGTCGGACGCCCCGTACCGGTGAAAATTACCGTCACAAGATTGGCCTGACGCCCAAAATTTAACGACCCGGTCGTGGCGACCGTGTGCGCTACAGCACGTGAGATTGAGTCTGGCCCTTACTCTCCGGAGCATCTCGCCCACACTCCTACACAACCTTGGGTACACACGTAGCAAGCTTCCCGATTAGCAAACTGAATGAGAGCGCGGGCGCAGATGGCGCCGCGTTAAATAGTTGAGGCTGAACACCCCGCACACCTGTTCCATAGGTAGGGCCTCGCCGGCTGGCGCGAAAGACTCGCAGGTTTGGTTAACGCCCACAACACAGGGTTCTTAGGTTGGCTGCCTGCTTCCGTAAACGAGGCTCAGCCGGCAGCATCGCTCGGAGTTTACAGGCCTCCGGTATTTTTGGCTCTGCGGCACTACCTTGAGTCCAAAACCGCCCGAGCGCAACTCCCGGTGTTCAAAGGCTGCACCCTTCCTCGCCGCATGCGTACTTTCACCGACCTAACGGTGCTGGGGCCCTTGTGTTAATAGACGCCACACCTGCCGTAGGTTTTCTGACTTTCGCCGTCCTGGTCATTTTGCTTTCTTTGCAGGAAATACTAATGTTGAAGAGAAAGAAATATAAGGACACGTTATACATAATAATAATAATAATAATAATAATAATAATAATAATAATTAATAAAAATAATAATAAAATAATAATAATAATAATAGGCACGCGTTGAGTAAAAACCAAGTATGTACACTATAGTGTTGCTTAATCATACTAATAATAATACACATCGAATCTTCACTTCGATGTCTGGTGTTTCCAGATTTTGGTGAAAACTTCTTTTGTTATTTCACGGAGAAAATTTGTATTTTTTCTGAGGGTCTAATACAGCTGTCGATTGTGATAAACTTATTGAGGAGGTTGTTGCCTCGATGCATCGGGCGGTTGGTCTTTCATCGCCACCTGCTGCAAAAGGACTTTAGGGCAGGGATACGGGCACGAACGAGCCTGGACTGCGCGTAAAGTGGCCGTGGGGGAGGGGGCCCGGGGTTTCCAAGTCCCGGTATGGCACTGGGACAAAAGTTCGCATAATAGACAACGTGGAGAATGCTCACATACAATGTTCACTGATCTGCTCGCTTCCTCGGTGGCTTTTCTCTCTCGCTTTTACACTTCCTGCTCCACGTCCACGTGTTCTACTGCGTCCTGTCATCCCCAAGCCACGCTCATTCTTTTTATGTTGGTGAGCTGACTCCATTGCGAGGCTGAAGGAATGGCGCTCAATGTTTTTTGGAAGCGGGCCTCCCCCCACCCCCCGTCTAATTTGACTACTAGCTTGTCCCAAATATTTACTCCAAGTATCCATAGGCAGAATTCATCATTACAAGACTGAGGAAAACAAATAAGCATAAGTGGATGTCATCATGTGGAATTTTTTTATCTTCACAATATGGCCTTTTTCTTACGCGGGAGTACCAAGGCTGCCCCCCCCTCGCTTCAAATCCTTCTTTTTTTAATTGAATGTCACTATTGAACAGATATTTCAGTAGTAGTTTACTAACGGCGAATATTGCTGTATATGCAGCGTGTGGTTGGAAGAAGCCCGAATTATTTTCTTTTCCTCATATTTCTTAATAACGTGAAGACGTATATTTTCCATAAGCTTAACTGTGTATTGTTTGGCTTTTTTCTACGAACAGAATCCCATACCGTAACCAAAAGTCACAAACCAAATTTAAATTAATTCGCTTATACACTTGTGTTTACGAACAAGAAGCAATGCAAGTAATGCAATCACGCCAGATCACTCACATGACTCTGGTCGCGGAAGCCTAAACGACTTCATTTTAAGAAGCAATCAAACATGTCCACTCCACTCATTGAGTTCAATTTTCTTCTCGGAAAAAAACAAGAAACATTCTCTAATTAGATGAGTGATAATGAACCTCATACAATGTCAAAGCAGATATACTATTTCCTTCGGCTGCTCGCGTAGGCGGAAAATTGCAAAACACGTCAATATGCTGAATACTTACACTGTAGGTCTACGGCGAATTCTTCTTTAGTTCAACTGCGTATGTACGACAAGACGACAGTAATATTTAAGTATGTGGTTTCGTAAAGTTTTCGAAATATTTATTTGTGCAGATGTATTTGAATTTCCCTCACTATTCAACGAGAGATTATTGTCAAATTGCCGCCTTGCGAAAGATTGAGGCGTCACAAATCGTTCACCGTAGTGGTGACACTTTTCAGGGTTTTTCAAACGTCAAAAGTAATTTGTTTTGAGAACCGCAAAGTTGTGAACATGGCTTTTAATTGTACTATCTCAGGTAACTAAAAAACTTCTATCTATAGAGAAGTATATGCACTGTAATTCCAAGTAGAAAATGGTCAATGAAGTGCATCACTCGTCCCAGTGCAAGAAGTCGCAGAGAGAAACCACTCATTTTTCATAATTTAACTGTTATGTCATAAACATAATGTTAACAAACTTTAGAAAATTAACGTTGGTCAGTACCGAATAGCTTTTGTGTTTCTATTTTGTATCTGCCTTTTAGTCTACAACCGAGATTTCTGAATGTATTGCATGTCTGTCCTAGGACTGTTCCGGATTCTCACAGTCACAACCAGATTTCAGTTGCTTTTGAATAAATGTGAATAGAAATAATAACAATAATAATTAAATAATAATAATAAACAAAAAGTACACTGTAGATGACTGCGGCAACCATTGCATAAAAAGAACGCAAGAATTAAAGTAATACCAGTAATTGCAGCTCGCGTCATGAAAATTTCAGTATTTTTCCTCATCGCTTCGCCTCTCCTCAAGCGGTGCGTGGGAGAACGCCAGATTTTGTGCAGGACCTGCGGTCGCTTCGATGACCTACGAGTGTCTCTGTGTTTTCCGCCTTCCGCTACGGTGTTGGAAGAAGTGTCACAGAAGGAGCGGATCCAGCCCGATTATTTTTCGGGAAGGTGTATATTTTTTTGTATACATTTATTTTAATGTAAAAATAAATGTATTAGTATATTTTATATTATTTAGATATTCACCAGATGAACTCTTTAAAAGCAGATAAACGTTGTTTTTGAGATCAAACATCGAGTTGATAAAAGAGCTCGTGCGTATACTGTTCCGCTCATTCTTTCCGGTCTTTGAACGGGGAGGGGGGGGAGGGGGGTGGGGGGGGGGCGGGGGGGGGGGGGGGGGGGGGAGCGGAAGATCCTTAGAGCAAAGGTGGAAATTTTTAACAGAAAACCTTAGAAGTTAAAATACATCTCAAGATAAGATGTGAGAGATGGAATAATGGTGATATTTACAGAAATATTTCAATTTAAAAAAAAAAAAGTTCCAAAATCAGACACGATATTTTTGAGTATGCCTCAATCAATTTTAAGATTGGTATTCGAAGGAAGACGGAACTATGTGGAAAAAAAGATAGTAGTATACCAATCTCTAGTTTGATATATGTGGAAAAATAGATGTGAGATGCAAAGTGACGAACGCCATAAACCGACTGGTCCTGGCTTGCGAATCCCGCAAGTCCAACGGCGTGATGGTCACGGCGTTTGGATTCAGGAAGCATGTGGGCCATCGCGCTAATAAAGCCCACATTTTT